ATCAAGTTCAAAGTATGTGTATCTATGAGCATTCTTGTAAGTCTAACTACTGTAGTATGTCAAACGGTGTGAACATAGATTCTGTTACATCAACACCGAGGGGTTTTACGCATAAACAAGAAAATAGAGTAGATGTAAGAAGAAGACAATATTTTCTCACTTGTAGTATCAACACAGAAATATAAGTCTTTCTTTTTTACTTTTAGTTATATTGCCATAACTTAATGTTTGCTGCTATTCAAATCATTTTGTTCGATAAACAAATAATGAAAACAAAAGCCCACTATAATAATGTCTTCTGAATTTAGATTGGTGTATAGATGTTTTTTTAACAGCATTTTTCAATTATATTACATGATTTACATTCAATATCGTACTCATACAAATCATTGAAAATGAAACTTTATTCAAACTTTATCATCATTCTCGTCAATTATTATTTGTTCAATTCGAAAATTATTAACGACAACGAATCGACCAAAATTCCTACTTACTTCTTCTTTTCCTACTAAAGTGAGACCACTCATGTTGTATTCGCACGCATTCTATGAACAATATTATTCTACAACTAAAATGGAAACACCGTCCAAGAAAAAAATACATGACACCTATATCGTACGAACATCACAATATTATTGATATAAATGAAATGAGAAAAAAACAACAGTTAGAGCAAAATCAATCTCAATTATCTAGTAATTCTTATTCAGGATACTTTAAAACACAATCGGTTTATTTCAGTTGTAGATCAACAAAGGATTCAGCAGACTTTGAAGAGTTCTCTCTATTATTCCTTGTGTGAGTATTCTTCTTTCATTGTGTGTTTAAAATTGGTACACGAGCTGTTCAATCTGATGATCGTACAACTAAGATAAAGATCAATCCAACCAGTTTCTTTACCAGTGTATTTTCAGTGATGAGAGTGCAAAATACAAATACTTCTAATTTACATTTACTCAGAGACACACTAAAAAATTCAATATTTTCGACAGAACAGCTACCACCAGAAGACAACAACTGTAATTGAATAATGGATTTCACAATCGTCATCAGCATACGATGATTTGATAAAATAAAAACTCAACAACAATTACGATAGAACAGCAACGTTTAACTACCACCATCACCAACCTATGATGATTTTGTTCGAAAAAACAATGAAAGAGAGTAGAGCGATTTATAATTTTTGAATATTATTTCACTTAAAAAAGGCCACGCGAAAAATGATAGACTTCAAAATAATAAAAAAGAAACGTTTTTTGAAAGAAATGCTGTCACTGTAGGGAAGTATTATCTTATTGTCTTCTTCACATGGCTTCTCAATTATTTGATAGATAAACAAGTTTATTTGCATTTTTTACACTTGTTTAAGAACAAAAAAAAACGATCAAAAGCAAATTCATTCGATTCTCATTTCAAATGTTAGGTCTACCTAAGTTTTGCACCCACTTTTTATTATTTTTTTCCAGCAATTAGACAATACAAGGTGTGAATGTTGATTTTCGATTCATTCAACTCCACACTGTTAATGAACGCATCTAGATGCGATCAAACGGGCTAATTTTTTTTAACCAATAATAAAGATATGTTTATAGATTATATACCCTTGATTGTCTTTGATACAGTGAGGGTTTTTTTAAAATTTTATTAATGTTATTATTTCGATGACAAAACAATATCTGCATTTTTTTACAAAGTACAGAAAGAAAGAGTAAACAACGAAGAGGAGAAAAAAAAGTAATTGCACAATTTCTATGGTATCATGTTGTTCTTTTTTTTGTAGTATAATTCATAAGAAACAAAAAAAAAACATTTTTTATTTACTTCTATCTTACACATAACTGAAAATATTGTAGTTTTAATCATGAGTGATCTGACAAATATCATGACATTTGAATTATTACCAAATGAAATATTAATTAAATGTTTTGGATATCTTAATGCAATAGATATTTTTCATTCATTTGATCAATTAAATTCTCGTTTTAACAAACTTATTCGAATTATTCCATTATATCTTAGTTTTGAAAATGTTCGAAAGAGAATATTTGATCAATTTTGTAAAAAAATATTATTAAATTCAGAAATAAAAAATCAAATTATTTCATTAAAATTATCAAATATAAATACCTATGGTCAAATTGATGGATTTCTATCATTATTTTCACTGACTGAATTTTCTAATCTTCAATCATTAGTATTGAATCGAGTTAAAATTACTAATTTAGAAAAATTACAATCAATATTACCACTAATATCTAAACTAGATTCTTTTTGTTTAATTGATTACAATTATAATTTATCAAGTAAGCAGTATCCAAATTTACTCATCATTTTAATCATATTCTTAAAACATATTCAATTATAAATTTAACAATTTCAAAATGTAGTTTAAATGAATTATATGAATTATTTTCTTATATACCTATGTTAAAATATCTTAATATTCATAATGTATGGACATACTTCGAAGGATATATCTCAAAGAATAATACAATTTCTAATCGTCGTTGTGCAATTAATCTACAAAAAATAATTATAAATAATTTTCAACATGAATTTCAAGATTTTAAGATATTTGTAGAACAAACACCAAATATAAAATATTTAACAATATGTTCCAACGATAAAACCATGATTGATGCATATAATTGGCAAACTTTAATTATTACTTCATTATCTTATCTCATTAGTTTTAAGTTTAAATTTATCTATTCACGTAAAGATGATGATGATGATGATAATAATAATACTATTATTGATAAATTCGAACAATTTCAAAGTAATTTTTGGCAAGATCAACATTTTTGGAATACTGAATATGTATTAGATAAAAATTTAGCATATGTTTATACAATACCTTACATATCCGATACATATATGTTAACACCATATACAAATAGATATTGTAAAAAATCGATAAATACTTTAAATATATTCAATAATGTAACAAATTTAATATTGTATGAAAAAATAATAAGAGACAAATGTGAATTTTACTTTTCAAATGTTGAATCATTAACACTAGAAAATGTAACTGATACTTTAGAATATAATAATAATTATTTTCTATGTGTAGAACATGTTCAATTTTTGAAAACAATTGTCAATTTAATTAATTTAAAACATTTAAATATTTCATCTAAATGTAATATAGATGTATCACCAGTATTGTTAGAAATATTAAAACAATCACCACAACTTTCATCATTAATAATTGATCTATTTGCGTTATCAATATTATTCAACAATGATGAATTATGTAGACATTTAAATAAAATGATTAATAAATTAGACGTATACAAAGAATATGATGATAAATTGAATGAATTTCATACAATTACAAAGTTATGTCAAGTATTTTCAAATCTTGAACAATTAAAATGTAATATTCGACAATTGGATAGTTTGTTATTTATATTAAATAATTTATCAAAATTATCATTTTTATGTGTAGTTGTATCACAAATCGATGAACATTTTATTGATCAATTTAAACATGAACTATTAAAGTTAAACGTCATGCATGAGATAGAATATGATTATTCAACTCATGGAATGTGTAAAGTAGATATATGCATCTGGATTAATTGAATTTTATTTTTTTTCAATCAAATAAATAACATGTCACATTTTTAGGTATTGGATTTTCTAAGAATATATTGAACGTTCTTTCCGTTTTGTTGAAAACTTTCACAACAAACTGTACAAACTCATTTTGAGTCTGAGTAGTTGCCTGGATGCAAGCAATGATGAAAAGGACAACTATACCTTCGCAATAATGGTTTCTAGACTCATCATTTTCTAAGAATTCATCCACAAAACAGCATATGTAAAAGGATGCAAATAACGTATCAGCAAAAAATCGGTCATTTTTTGATCAAAGTAAAATAAAACTATTATAGCTCAATAACGAGTTAACCCATGGCAGCTAAATCTCAGGAGGACACTTCAAGATGTTCTGTGGTTGGCCACTAATGCAGCTTCTCTCATTAGATTTTTCAACGGACTTCAACACTGAAATAGCATTTTCGTATTCATACGATACACAGATTCTAGCGAAGAATTCGCTCGATTTTGTTCATTCTATCAAAAACTTCTCTTGTTCTCAAACATAAAAGCTGTCAACTATTGATGAATTTGCTTGTCGCACCGTCGTGAACAAAGAATATTTTAAGCGATGACTCATAAATATCTTTCTACTAAAATACATAAAGACCAGTCATAAAAATCATGTGTAATAGTGCACATCATGAATATAACTATTGCAAGAATATAAAATTTAAAGAGCAGTAATATATTTCTATATGAACATAATTTCTGAAAACCTCTTCAGTATTACTTTGATGGATGCTATTACAGCTAAGCCTCTTCTTTAACATGCAATAGAAGAAGAAAGAAAATAAAATAGATACATATCTCGATTTTAGTCCAATAGAGGCCAGATTTTTTGTAATCACTCTCGAGTTTCTTTCATTTTTCTAATTAGTTAGAATGAAAAAAATCTTTCAAAGCCCACTTAAAATAAATATACTAGCAATGGATCTTTTTAATATTTTCACACTTTTGTATCAAATGTGTTCTTTATTTCTCTCAATTTTAATATTGTTCATACAATTTATTTTAAATTGAGTTTTATACGTTCAAAATTTATAATCTTCACATTCACCTGGTGGTCGTTTTTCATAGTAGAGTTGACAAATATCTCTTGGTACGGCTTCATCTTTACAACAATTTTCCCATGGTATTACATCATGTTTGTTGTGTGCATTCCATTGCAATAAATTCAAAATATTATCGGGTGCTCGTTCACGATCCAATGTACCAGCACCTTTATGTGGATCATTCATCCAATTCCCTGCTTTGTCATAACAACATTGAGCACCAGGTCCCTTACTTTTATATCCAAAGCGATAACATCCATGTGCACCTTTGTGATAACTGCATGTATTTGGGTGGCTACTTGCTACACAACCTGAATCTGTTTTCCATATTTTCGAACCGTCATTAAGTTCTTTTGGAAAGTTGAATGGTATATGACATGGACATTTCCGTGTTTGTTCCAAAAATATTGATGGATGTGGTTCAGCATTATACCAACTTTGACATGCAGTTATTTTTTTTGTTACTGCTGCTGATCGAACGCTTTGATCAGGAATAATATTTCCTTGTAGGCAGACAGCAGTTAAAGACAGAAGAAGAAGAAAGGTGAGCATGATGTTCGAATGTTAATTCCCAAAATGTAACATGTTCTTCATTGTCGACAATGTTTTATACCAAATTGAAGATTTGACATGTTTATTGTAGCTGAAGTGTTGTATTTAGATCTTGTTATTATAAAATCATGATTTATTGCTTCGACTTGATTAGATTTATTGTAAAATATTATCGTCGTCATACACTTGTGTTTTAACGATTATGACATTGTTTGTTAAGAATGTAAAATTGCTTGAAATTTAAGTTTTGACACTTTAACAACACAATTTATCTATGTTTAATGATTAAATTTAATTTTTTCTCATGATATCTGTTTTTTTAATGGTTATTGCTTCATGATAAGAGTATTTTCTGCCCATAACAATAAATTGATTATATGCACTGCACTTTGGAACATACAGTGAAGAAAAATCTACATTAGCTACTAATATAGGATGCACTTTCATGCTGTGTCTCGATATGACACTTTAACTTTAACAATACTTTACTAAAGTAGTTAAAGTCGCATATCGACAAACGAGCATAAACAACAAGGTAATATTGTGACATGGCCAACCCTCAGATAAACTTATGATCAGTTTCTCCATTGTTAAGGGCGAGTGGGTATGTAAATCAATTTGAAAAACATTTCACCCTACGAAAAAAAGAAATAACATCTTTCATAATAATTACTGTATTATTCAGTGTGAAAATCTAAAGTCAGTGCTTCTTCAAAGATCTAGATAGTTTTCTCGAAGATTATGGTTAAGCAATTCAAGGAAAGAAAGATGACTTGGATTAGTTGACGATGTTTCTAATTTATATTGATCAAATGATATTAATATGCTTCTCTTTTTTCCAACGATTGGTCATTGAACAATTTCTAAACATTTTTAAAAACGTTTTAAAAATCACATACAAATAATCAACTTTTCGATCTTTATAATTTCAGAAACTCATCACAGGATGTGATTGTCGGTAGGTGTGTCTTTGTTTCATCCACACCTTCTAGATCAGTACTGTAGTAACAGGGTGCAGATATTACTGTTGTAAGTTCAAAAAAACAAAGGATGACTCATGCTAGTATATCAACAATCTGATCTCATCTGAGCGTTTTTAACGGTACAGGTACCGACAAGAAAAGCTCTACCACTTCTGATTTTGAATATAGCTTTTCAATTTAGGGTTTTCGTTTTCTTCTCTCTCTCTACAACCTTAGTAGCTAGGATCTAAGATTAAATATTAATGGTTTCGAATTGTCGTAAACAGCTGAGAAGATAAAGCTACAGATTCTTTACCATAGTCCCTTAGCAATCGAAAGAGTTTTTAAAAGTGATACTGAAAGCCAAGTTTAGCGTGTTCCAGAACATATTGAAGCCTAGTTTGAAATTTAAATGATTGAAATACGTTTCTTAATATTCTCAACTGTTCAGTTCCTTGGTTGTTGCTTAGATAAGTGATTACATGACAGAAACCAAGCGTGATGACTCATGATTGACTATATTAGCGCAAATAGGATTTTCACGATGGAAGGTTCTTAGTGAAATATAGCTCTAGCGATTTTGTTCGGTGGAAACTGAAAGTTTAGGTCGGGAGGCTCACATTTCATGGCTATATCACTTATTAGTTGATTTGGCACAGTTGTCATATATCCAAAATCAAAAGCAAGCACTGATCAAGTTTTAACTTTCAAGTAATAATCAATACTGATACTTCTGAGTTTATCGAGATACATATAACAGAGCTTTGACATCTCGTATGGATATGATGAATGTTTTAAACTAAACATATTTATCAGTTAAATTCTCGGTTAGAATAATAATAATGATAGTAGATTAAAAAAAAATGGAATAAAATAAATAAATAAAGATTGAATAGCAACAAATCAATTAGAAAAGAGAATGTGAATGTTGTTATCAGACTGAATCGAGTATTCATCTACATCCACATCCTACTGCCTCAATGATAAAAATCTAGAAAAACCCAACAAAATAAGAAAGATTATATGAAAAAATAAAACTGTCTCTGATATTGTAATTATCGCAAATTTAGTCGTTGTTTATGCAACTATCAAACGCGCAAAATTAATAACTGTCATCTCATTGATCAATACATTCTTAAATTTCCTTTCTTTATACGTTCCAAATACCACGAGACTATACTTTGAAGGTCTCTTGATTGTAGCTTCGGCAATAATAGATGCAAAATCATTTTATACTGTTACTATTAGCATACTTGAAGTATGTATACGAAAAGAACAACAAAAAATTCGCCAAAATACCAGCATATTTTAGTGTTTTTTGATTGGTTTAAGTATAAGAACATTCAATAAATTTTTATCCGTTACAGATAGATTCATAGTAGAATACATATCTAATGCAGTACATAAAACAGAAAAACTTCTAGTTTTAATTGATTCATTACTTGATGATCTAAAAGTTCGACAAAAAATAATTGAACTTGATATTGATATTTTATATTCATTCACAAATAAATTATTCTTAGATAATTCCCTTTTCTTTTTTGAAGATGAATATCCCGTTTGATTCACTTATAAATTATATTTCATCAACAACAAGAATGAGAAAAGTACAAAAAAAAACGAAAACTTCTGTTTTAACTCTTGAATTGGTATATTTCAACGATAAAAATGGTTGAATTTCAGTTAATAACATAGCACATATGTTTATTTCTGCTTATCATTATAAAAAGAAAAGAAATTTTTATGCATTTCTTCACATTATTTTTCTTTCGCTATGCATTGATAATATCTAGATTGTCCTTTCAATATATATATATATATTGTTTTTCTTACGAGGAAATGACTTCAATTGATCAATCCATTTCTCATCAAAAAATGGCTCAATACTTGGTTATCGACTTTTCCGACTCCGAGTATGAGCATGAGAAATCCTCTAAAACTTTTATGTGCTAGTGTTTTAGAAAAAAGAATTTGACTAAAATCTTTTTTTTGATAAAATAAGCTTTAAATAAAATAACATCATGTTGATATTTGTTGGACACATTAATACGGCTGTATTTTTCTCTAGAAAAAAAAAAAAAAAAAACTTTTTCTCTACAATACAAAGATTTAAAAGAATTTCTCATGCTTACATTCAGAATCAACAAGGTCGACAATCTATTATCTAGTAATTTTGATTAGAAAAAAAAACCAAACGATTGATCAATTGAAAAGATTCTCTCGTTAGTTTCCTTATTGTTGTAATAAATTTTTCTTCAGTATTGAAGATAAACTCCTTTTTTTTTTAAAACAAGAATCGTATCTAACATTTCAAACGTATAGTCTTCAGTTGTGAGAATAAATTCTATTGATTATATTTATGCACTATTCTCATTCACTTGTCTTTCTGGATGTTTTTTCATTGGCAGATGTTATG